AAAAAAATATGGTGGAGAGTGACAGAGAAGACAGCCCTATGTTAACCTCTAGCTTCCATACTTGCACACATGAGCATGTGCAACTCCATGCATGTGTGTACACACAAAAAGAATGCAGAGGTGAAATGGTATCTGTCATCTGTAGTGATAATATGCAATCTGTTGATTTCATAATCACTGTTTATGTCTGGGGTCACAGTTCAGTGATAAAGCATGTGCTTAGCGTATGAGAGACCCTAGATTCAAATCCACCAGACAGCACATTTACAATGATTAAAATGGGAAGTTTTATCACACTGTTGTGTAACCATCAGGCACCCACAGAACTCTTCATCTTGTGAAACTGAAGCCTGTCCCCATTAAGCACCACCAGCTTACCATTTCTCCCTCCCAGCCACTGGCAACCACCACCTACTGTCTACCCTCAAGAACCTGATGACTCTAGGTCCTTCATATGACTAGGCTCATACAGAATAAAATACTTTAAAAAATAAATATTTAAGGGGGCAGGAAGATAGCTAGGTTGGTAAAGTGCTTGCTGTGCAAGCATGAAGACCTGAATTCAGATCCCTAGCACCCATACAGAATGCTGAGTGTGGGAGAGTGCTTACTGGGATGTAGAGACAGGCAGAACCCTGGAGCTTGTTGATCAGCTAGTCTAGCTAATCAGTGAGCTCTAGGTCTCAGTGAGAGACCCTGTCTCAAAAAACAAGGTGGCTAGCTGTAGAGGAATGATACCCAACCTTGTTTTCTGACCTCTACACACATGTGCAAAATATGTATCTACACCTACACACACAAGTGCACACATACACAAACACAATACCTGCCACACACATACAAATTAAGTATTAAATTCACTTTATACAAAAGTACTAATAGAAATAACATATTTGGCTAGAGAAGTCATAGATCTTAGATAAAACTCCAAGGCTATCACAGTCCTAGACAAATCATATTTCTATGTGCAAAATATGGATCCTTAAATTTATAGACAAGTGTCCCAGTCACCACCCATCAAAGAAGTTTCTTTTTCAAACAGAGATGATTGCAGAGTTCCACAACTGGTCACACACAGAAATTGTCTGTGAATTGCCCAAGCCTAAGCGGCACATCTAGGATGCAACCACTACACCTAAGGTTAACAGAACACAGAACAAGGAATGAAGAGACACTGATGCATCTTTCAGTTTTCATCAGTGAAGCTCCCTCATGCAACAGAGGAAACGCAAAAGGTGACAAATGGCCAAAATGCAGAGAATAAGGGTCTGCAGAGTGTGGTCCTTGGACAGGTCTCCTATATTAAAATCCACCTACCCAGGGCTCAGGAACCATTGAGGAAGAGGGAGCAGAAAGATTGTAAGGTGCAGGACCATACAGAAATAATCCTACAGGCTCTTGGGACTCTTCTCATACGAACCTACAGCAATGGTGTCAGCATGCCCAAGACCCATTCAAACTTAAGCAGACAAAAACCCAGCACCGAACTGTGGATATGAACAGCAGGTCCCATGTTTATTTGAAGAATTATTAGCAGCTGATTACTGCTGGGTGAGGAAGAGCTGATCTTCTTAAAGGGAGGGTCTTTACATAGGCTGACTAGGTCCCAGTGGATGAACTTGCAATGAGGGCCATCTGGGGACAGTAACTTTATATGATAGGCCTTAACACAACATATAGAATGTATGAACTCCAGTGGAGGGGGGGCTATGGGAGGGTAGCAAAGCGGAAGGGGGTATAAAGATGATTTTCTGTATGAAATACACAAAAATTCAATGAAAATGTTTAAAAAGTGTCTTTTAATAAACTAAAAAAAAGGAAATAACACAGTTGACAGGAAATAGCAAATAGCTCTTTACAGTTCCCACAGGGGGTAGGAAACATGGGATAGGGAGTAGGGAGTGGAATGGTTCCCTGTAGTAGTGAGCAGGGCCTGTGGCTGGAGCCCAGAGAAAAGGATGAGCTGGTGGCAGGAACCAGGACCAGGCCCAGCTGGAGGGAAAGCAATCAGCACCTCAGCCAGTGGGAAGGAAGATGAAGGACCTCCTGCAGGGTGACCAAATGCAGTGGTGGTTTGAATGATAATGACCCCCCCATAGGCTCTAAGTATTTGGACATTTTTGTCCACAGTTGGTGGCACTGTTTTGGGAGCCCTTAGAAGGCGTGGCCTTGCTGGAGGAAGCACATCACTGGAGGCAGGCTTAGAGAGTTCCAAAGCCATTTACTCTCTGTTTTTTGTACCTGCTTGAAGATGTGAGAGCTTAGCTACTGCTCCTATTCTAGCCATCTCTGCCACCATGCCTCCCTGTCATGACTCGACTCTTGTTCTTTTGGAACCGTAAGCTAAATAAACTTCCTTTAATAAGTTCCCTTGGTTATGGTGTTCTATTACGGCAACAGAAAAATAACTAAGATAGCTGCTTCATACAGAGGATTTATTGGGGAAGAGTAGACACTAGAAGCTACTGACAGCTGCTTCTTTTGGACTGGGTTATAGTAGAGGCGACCACATGCTGATTGTACTCAAACCACACTTCTTCCCAGCCAAATAGCCTATAATAGCACTTGACACAACCAGCAGGACCCTGGGGACAGTCTGCCTATCCCTGTGACCTGCCCACCAGTAGTTACCAAAGGAAAGGCTTATTCTTTGGTGGAATAAGGAATATTTGTTTTCCTTAAAGCAAAGCAACTTAAATCAAAATATTTTTGGTTCTGAAATTGCTTTATGTATAAGAATCATGTTAAGAAATTGGGGACATGTATAACAGAAGACAACAGTTCAGGAAATTACAGTCATAGGCTGGAGGTGTAGCTCACTTGATAGAGTGCAAAGGAAAGGCTTATTCTTTGGTGGAATAAGGAATATTTGTTTTCCTTAAAGCAAAGCAACTTAAATCAAAATATTTTTGGTTCTGAAATTGCTTTATGTATAAGAATCATGTTAAGAAATTGGGGACATGTATAACAGAAGACAACAGTTCAGGAAATTACAGTCATAGGCTGGAGGTGTAGCTCACTTGATAGAGTGTTTGCCTAGCATGCATGAAGCCCTGGGTTCTATTCCCAACACTGCATAAACCAGGCATGGTGGCACACATCAGTAATCCCAGTGCTTGGGAGGTAAAGGCAGGAGGCTCAGAAGTATATACTTATTCTTGGCCACATAAGGAGTTTGTGTCCAACCTGGGCTACATGTGACCTAGAGAGAGGGATATATATATGTATGTATATGTGTATATATATGTATATGTATATATACACACACTTATGGAGAGAAACAGAGAGAGAGAGAGAGAGAGAGAGAGAGAGAGAGAGAGAGAGAGAGAGGAATGATGT